CCCAAAACCCCAAAACCCCAAAACCCCAAAACCCCAAAACCCCAAAACCCCTTTTTATTGTATCATATTGAATTTATTTCTTCATTAAGGAATTCTTCAAGGTTTGGTTCCTATCCTGGCTATGTACAATAAGAGTGTTCGCATCCTTCTGCTTGATGACAGTGTCAATACGACTTTCGAGAGGTGGTCTCTGGACCTTCTCTCGATCAGAATTTATATTTGGGTTGTAACTATTCTCCTTATTATCACTAAGATTTCTTGCTGAATTAGCATAGCGACTCGAATCTGGCTTCACACTATTATGTTGGTTCATTAATGCCTTATTCTCAGATTCATGGCGCTTAGTCTCCTGGCTACCTTCTTGTTGAGAGGTATGGCTACTTGGAAGCATATCAGAAGCTAAAGGCCAGTAGATCCCATCCCCCATTGGATGACCTGAAGCCCAAGAAACTGGGAAGAACCAGAGCAACTTATTCGAGCCAAAGACTTGTTCCCAGTTTTCTTTTGGAGAAAGTCAATATTGGGATTCAAACTCCTCACCTTTCTTCTCTAAAAATTCAATAGTTGTTTTATTGCTTAAGATCAGCTCAATATGAAACCTGAGGAAGTTAGTCATCAGATAAGAAGCAGCACCAGTGATTACCCACCCAAACAGAGTCACTGCAAGTGGCAGGAATCCTATATAGTTTGTAGTTTCTCTTGAAAACTTTTCATACTCCACTGGAAGTCTGTTGTATAGCTCCCAGGTCAATATTGGAAATGAGAGGTAGGCTCAGATCAGTACATACACTAGGAGTAGGACAAACTGTTTTCTGTTCCAAAAGCCAATGCAATTGTTAACCCAAGGTCAATGATGGTCCATATTAAGGACACACCTGTTTCATGTTGAGCAATGGTGGCATCTTTCTGGCTTGAATACGTTTCACATTAATCAATATCGCTTTCTTTTGGACTCATGGTCTCCGAAATGAAACCCCCAAAATGTAGGCACTTGTCCTGGATCTCCCATTATTGTCTGGAAGAGGCACCAGAGTAACATAGCAACAAAATAGTGATAAATTAGAGTTAAGAGCTTCGCTGGAATACTTGTCAATAGTTTTGGCCCTAGAGTCTCAATGATTACGCTATAATACACTACAATAAGTGCCATAAAGACTAAAAGGATAAATAAATTCCCTAGGAACCTATCTGGCTTCACTGGAAGACGTCTTGGCATTTCTTCTATATATTTGAAATTTAAATATTTACCAAAACGGAGGGGTTTTGGGGTTTTGGGGTTTTGGGGTTTTGGGG